ATCTACTCAAAATATCTAAATCCAAATTGAGTATTCTTTAAGAGACTACATCTTTTGCCCAGCCAGTGTGGCTCAGTGGATTGAGAGTTGCCCCAAGGGCTGAGAAGTCCCAGTTTGTTTCCCAGTCAGGGCACATGCCCGGTTACGGGCTCAGTCCCCAGTGGGAGACATGGCGGGGCGGGGGGAAGGGGGCGATCAATGTGTTTCTCTCATGTCAATGTTCCTATGTCTCTCTCCATTCCTCTGTCTCTAAAAAGTCAATAAAAACATACTTTTTTTAAAAAAGAAACTACATCTTTCCATTGATATTTTATATGAAGGACCAGAAATATCTGAATTTAGATCATCATTAATACTCCTTTTGAAGGACATAAAAAAAAAAGATATTTTAATCAAGTATTACTAAAAAGATGTAGAAAGCCTTTACATAAGGAAGGTCCACATCACAATGGTAAAATCTAATGTAAAGGTTTAATGTGAAATGTGAATTTCTACCTCACTAAAAAAAATCAGATACTTTATATAAAGACAGCATCACTTTGGAACTGACTTTCAAGATACCTCTAACTTCCAAGTACGTACAAAGCAAGACTGGAAAGAGCTACAGAATATAAATTTGAAAATATTTCTGAGGTGATAAAATGGCCAGTAATAAATAATTTAAAAGTGTACTTTACTGACTTCATTCCTAAAATATGTGAATTCTAAATGTACCTAATATATGTAATAAAAATATCTTCTAACATAGCCATACATTTTTTCTCCCTTCCATATCATCACCATTCTAGCACATAGCATATTTTCTTACCTTCAACTGTTTTACCACTTTCAAGCAATGTCAAGTTATTGTTCTACTTTTTAAGTAACCATAAGGATATTCACTTGAAGTCGATCTACTTTTATGAATTTAAGTCAATGCAAGGTAGCATTTTGCTATATCTTGAGATTCTTTTAAGATTCCTTTTCTAAGAAAACCTCCTAAGCCATCAGTCTTACCAGTTATTAGCATTAAAAAAAAAAGTCTTATTCTTTAAAAGAAAGGTTATTCATTTATGTAAATTATGTTCTCCCTGTTTATGCATATTGATGATCTGAAACTGGGTCTCAAGAGATGGATTTCTTGGAAACTTACACTTTTGGAACTGGAAAGGACATTAGAGATCGTCTACTCTAACGCCTTCATTTTATGGTTGAGGACACGGAGCCCAGAAAAGATAGCTGAGTGACTCTGGGCAAGTTTCCTACCCAGTGGCAGAGCCAGAACCAGAAGCCAGGTCTCCTGATGTCCTGTTAGGAGCCAGGTCTCCTGACTTTCTTTTAGGAGCCAGGTCTCTTGATTTTTATTCCAAGGATTTTCCATTACACACTGACTCTCTATTCTTTGAGGTTGTCTTGGGCTCTGCTCACACTGATCAAGCTGCTTTCTAAATGGCCACATTCACCAAATAAAATGCTTTTGATGACATGTCATGGGACCTTGGAATGTACCTGCATAATCAGGCTATACTGGTCCTGGCCAATTTGGCTCACTGGTTAGAGCATTGGCCCATGGACCAAAGGGTCACAGATTTGATTCTGGTCAAGGGCATTCACCTCGGTTGTGGTTTGGTCCCCGGCCCCTGGTTGGAGTGGTGCAGGAGGCAACCAATTGATGTGTCTCTCTCACATCAATGTTTCTCTCTCCCCCCCCCCCCCCCATCCCTCTCTATCTGAGGATAAATGGAAAAATATCCTTGGGTGAGGATTTTTTTTAAAAATCAGGCTATACTCCAATTAATCACCATCTCCCCTCAATGGTTCCTCACTGATCATATAATAAATTATAATGCTTTTCACATGGTCTTCAAAACAGTAGGCTCTGGCACCTAAAAGTGCCGTGGAATTATCCTCCTCTTGATCCGTGCTGGAGACACCAGCCTCCATTCCGTTCTTCCAATGTACCAAATACCTTCCTCCCTCAGCACCAGCCACTCCCTGACCAGGCTCCTCTCCCATGCTTTGTCTGACTAGTTATTAATCATTCTTTTGTCCTCAGTTTAAATATAAGACCCCCTTGCCTGGCTGGTGTGGCTCAGTGAATTTAGCATTGTCCCATGGATTGAGAGGTCCTGGTTCGATTCCTGGTCAGAGCACAAGACTGGGTTGCAGGCTCCATCCCCAGTAGGGGGCGTGCAGGAGGCAGCCGATCCATGTTTCTCTCTCAAGTCGATGTTTCTATCTCTCTCCCTAAAAATTCAATAAAAACATATTTAAAAAATATATAGAAGATTTCCCCTAAAGATTTCCCCAGTACTGCAATCCTTTGCCTGACTCCCATCTTCTTGTTTTTACACTCTTATTTCAACCTAGATATTTTAGTGTTTATAAAAAGTCCAATTAATGAATTATTTCTTCAATCACTCACTTAATGTTTCCTTTTCAACCCACTCCAACATCTCTAAGAACAGGCACTATGTCTATTCTTTTGTTTTTTGTTTTTTAATCCTCACCCGAGGACATTTTTCCATTTTTTTGTTCAGGTAGAGTGGGAGGGAGAGAGAGGAACAGAGAGAGAGAGAGAGAAACATCGATGTGAGAGGAACACATCGAGTGGCTGCCACCCGCACAACTGACCAGGGCCGGGGACAAACTGCAACCGAGGTACGCGCCCTTAGCGGGAACCGAACCCGGGTCTCTCAGGACCGCAGGCCGACGCTCTAACCGCTGAGCCAAATCGGCCAGGGCACTATGTCTATTCTTAATCACCACTCTACCCTCCAATACTTGGCAGACTATGTCTGGAACACAAAAATCACAATCGCTCGTATTTACTATAGCTAGTTGATTATGATGCACAGAGCTTGTTTTAAATGTGATCATCTCATTCACACTGTCAATAATCCAATGAGTTGGTACTAGTATTATATTATGTTATAGAGGACAAAACAGAGGCATCAAACCCTTGCTCAGTATCACAGAGCTAGTAAGTGATGGAACTGAGGTTTGAATTCAAGCATTCTGATTCCAGGGTCCATGTTTTTATTATTATTATTTTTTTTTATCCTCACCCGAGGACATTTTTCCATTTTTTGTACAGATAGAGTGGGAGGGAGAGAGAGAGAGAAACATCGACGTGAAGGGACACATCGAGTGGCTGCCACCCGCACGACCAACCAGGGCCGGGGACAAACTGCAACCGAAGTACATGCCCTTAGCGGGAACCGAACCCAGGTCTCTCCGGACCGCAGGCCGACGCTCTAACCGCTGGACCAAACTGGCCAGGGCCCAGGGTCCATGTTTTTAAACTGACACTTTATGCTACTGAAATATTTGTTCAGTAAATAAATAAACTTATCCACCAAATAAAATTAACAGTGTCATTGAACTGTAGGACTAGAATAATCCCAATACCTATAGTGTTTATACTATGTCAGGCATTTCTAAGTAGTAAACATATTTCAGTAATCTAATCCCACTGCAACCCTACAAAGTAGGCACTACTACCACCGCCCTGTTACAGAGGAAACTGAGGCACGGAGAGGTGAAGCTCCTTCCCAATATCATACTGGGGCAGCACTGGGGTTCAAACACAGGCAGGCCACAGGAGCCTGCTCTCTTCTGTTCTATACTGCCATACGGGTGATAGCCCATAGCTGAAGACAGTTCAGAGTTAATAATAAAGTACTAGTGCAACAGTCATTAGCCAACCTTGGAAGGACGAAAATAAAGAAAGGAAATCCAACTGCTTAGGTTAACTTGACTCCCTCTAAGTGATCAAGAGGAAAGTTCCTCTTTTGCATGGATGAGTTACAAAAGGGGGTTGCCTCTTCCTTCTAGGGGACACAGCATGGTGCAGGGTCTTCCTGGAATGCCTTCCGCCTCTCTGCCCTTACCCTTTGGCTGGTGCCTTTGTGAATGGTACAACGTGCATTCTCATATGCAGTAGTCCTGGTTAGACTACATAAAATTGTCAAATTAGTGTGTACACAGTGGGAAAAAGAAAACATCTTAACCCTAAGATAAAGGCAAAAAAAAAAAAAAAAAGTCAAAAAGCCAGAACCATGGTGAGCAAAAAGAAAATCTTGTTAAAATGTGCTGAAATCTTTCCAAACCTCACTAAGATTTCAGGCTTACAGGGTGCTTCTCACTAAGCTCTCTCATTTCTCTTTAAGTGATAAAATAATGTTGGTGAAATCCCTTCTGCAAATGATAAAGTACCATACAGATGATACGTTTACTCGATATGCACATCTAATATCTTATATGTATATAAGGGTCCTTCCCTTGGGGCATAAATCAATTTTATTCTCTGTGAAGAACTATTGGTGAAAATAGTGTTTCTATATATAATGACCCTTTAAATGCACATGGTTTGGAAAAATGCACAAGGTTGGTATTTTATCCCGGGACTCTGCCTGCACAATAGGAATTTAAAAAGAGACAGCCTTAGCATGAGGTAGCGTTTTTCCCAGAGACAGTACTTTTGGAAGAGCACCTAAAAACAAAAGGGAAATGAAAGGAAAAATTTTAGCTCAAGGTTGGGTGACTCTAGTCAGCTCCTTTGGACAAAGGATGGATGTGTTTGTTCCGGAGTTTGGGTATTCAGCAGTTTCAGAAGGTGTGCTATAAAGTAGGGCAAAGCAATCTAGCTTTAGAAGTCAGATTTCACAGACCGTGGCCTGTGTGCAATGTCCAAAGAATAGGTCAGATTGGTCAGCTGCACAAAAGAAACGTTAAGGAATAAATCAGATCAGCATATAGATGAAATAAGCAATCTGACCACGTATTTTCACATTTCAATGCATGATATTGGAATTACTAAGCACAGTTCATGTGAGAGACCCTGGGAAATGCATTTAAATTTTCCACATGCTTCAGATTTCCCAGATGTAAAACCCAAATAATGAAATCTTTCTTTCCAAGGTGCTGTCACATGCTTAGGGGAAGGACACTATATGAGGGGAAAAAACAAAAACAAAAACTGTTATCTTTGCTCACAAAATGAGATCTTATAACCTTACCTAATAGATTGGTTAACCACAAGGCCAGATCTTCTTTCATCGGTAGCAAATTAGCTTCATGTCTGCTGGCCAGCCATTGGCTATACTGATGCATATCAGAGAGGCCAGGTCCGCTGCGTACCTTTGGGCTCAGAGCAGTGCACATTATTTATCCACTTGTAATACCTGTTTTGGAAACAAAAGAGCAATGGCTTTTTATACAGACTTCTCTTGTTAAAATCTTGGCGCCAATGACAAAGTAAGGAACTAGATCCATGGAAATGTTGATGAAAGGTCAGGTTATTAATTATTAAACCCCAGGAAACACTGTTTGCTTTTTCTTGACTGGTGCTATCACTGTTGACCAGCCACTTGGTAGAAAATAGCAGCAATCAAAGGTCAAATAGATATATCAAACAGGCAGTGCTAAGCTTGTGTAAAGCATCATATTTAGAAAGAGTCGGTTTCTAATACTAGAAATCCCCATCAAAGTTGTTGGTTAAAATTGGAGTCTCCAAATGGTGAAACCCCGTTCTTTGGGTTAATTTTTGAAAGTGTAAATTTCTATAGGACTTTAGGAATGAGTGCTAGTGGTGACAGTGTTTGCACAATTTATGGTATGCCATATGCTCACTACCCTTAAAACTGTTACCTATAGGATTAAGCCCAGTACTTGGTTTTTTGCAGATGGTTGAGCAATAATAGATTCACGATTCAGAGAACTGGGTGGGAGACAGGGTAAGATGTGCTTTCAAAGCATCCCTAGTATATTTTCTCATTTTACAGTTAATGAAAACAAAACCCAAGGAGGATCAGTGATTTAACCAAGATTGTATAGCTAGATTATGGCACAGTCAGGCTTACCCCTGGGTCTTGATACTCTTTCCAGAATGACACATCTTACAAAGCAGATTCATCAAGAAACCGTATTATAACCCAAGAATAACACCACCATTCCAACAAATACTGCTGCAAGTTTTTCTTTTGTCTTACTTTGCATCTTCTCACTTTCTGTGTGTTGCATCCTAGGTTTTGTTTGCAATCATCTTTTAAGTAGAAGTGATTAAATACCTCACATCTCCAAAATATAAGTTGATTTCATGAACCCGGTCAACCTTATGCGTATCATAATCCCCTAGGTGGGTTGTGGAAAAGTTGTTTGAATATATACTTGGCTTTAACATTGCACTTTCATGTGCATTATTTATAGGACCTAAAACTTTAGAGGTAAAATTTAAGCAGCTAAGGTAAAAAACTCATAACTTTCACAATGTATAGGGCTCTATCATGTCCACAAATGTGCACATGAAATAATTAAATGCATTACAGCTGAACAACAATGAAACTACAGCTGGAAAGAGGTGAGCTGTATGATATCATGGGGTTTTCAGCTATATTACCATAATGATGGTATTTTTAAGTTACCAATATAAGTATATATATACTCTTGTCAGTTCTATTCTTTGAAACTTTACATAGTATTCCTTTCTAGCTAATCTCAAAGTCTAATTGTCTTAGCATAGGATAATATTTGCCTCTTAAAGACTGCTTTTGAAAACATAATAAGATATTGGTGTTTAGAAAAATGCAAACGATGACCATCTCCCAAACATTGTGCTGTAGTATTAAAAAGACAGCTGGAGCGTGAACACCGAAAAGGCACCATAACTATGTAATTTAAAAGCACCAACAACTGCATCTCTAAACAATTATGCTTTCGAGTAATTTTTGCAAAAAAAAAAAAAATACCATCAATTTCCTTTGAAAACATTTTTCATAAATCTCTCTATTATCTAATTATCCATAGTAAACCAGTGCAACTGTGAAACATAGGGTACGAACATCATTATAGGAAGCAGCGCAGTGCCATAGCCTATTCTTTGGTAGTTGAGCATCACATTATTCATACGAAGCTCCTAAACTTTCCTCCACATCCAGTCATTCAATATTAGAAATCTAAAACATTTTTGCCCTAGTTATTTAAAAACCAGGTCTAGTCCCAGGGAAACAAAACATCTCCCTGCAGCTGGTTAGGATTCTCATAGGCTAGCCAGCCTCAGAAAAAAAACATTTAAGTAATATTACATTTAAGCACATGATTCATACATTTAAATAACTAATTGAAATCTTAAAAGGGTTACCTCTAAAATGCCTTTCTTCTCAAGACACAATCTCTCCCACTACTTTCCTGAAAGTGAGATGCGGTAGGTCAGTAACTTTAGCTACTTCCCATTATGTGCTCTGCAATGTCCATTGAAGCATCAGAGTCCTATTCTGCTCTTTCAAAGCAAGAAGACACCTCAGATTCTTAAGCTCATTGTCCAGCACAGAATTCATCAAGGGATAGTTTACAGTAAGCCTAATGGCATGTAACAGTTTCAATGAGTCAGAGGGACACAATCCTTCCCCTCAATACTTCTAAACAGTGAAGGTTTTATTTCCTTGACAGTGGCACATTTATTTCTCATGTAGTCTATCCTGTATTTTGCCAGAAATGTAATTCAAACGATCTTCTGAGATTGATAGATGATCATTAAGTAAAAACAGTAAGAGTAATTAAGCCATTTTTGCGATGCTGCTTTGTGTATAATGAAACTTACATACAAAGCAGAAACAAAACACAATCAAGGAGAGTTATATTTTACCAGAAGGTAAAAGTGGGAGAAAGAAGACTTAGTGTGTAATGAACATGCGATAGAAGGATCAGCAGTTAAACATATACCAACTGCGGAGGCTCCCCACGTCGCTCTCATGGATAGGAACTCTGTTTAAGTCCCTCGTGAAAAAAAAAAAATTAGGATCTCAACCCAAATGGATCCTTTTTTTAATATCTTAAATCGCCATCTGTGGTTTAGCTGAAAGTCAGTCACTACATGGAGGCCTTGGATGTAGTTATGGCAGAGACATGAATAAGAAACATGGGAGTGAACCCAACGATCAGGAGTGTGGAAGAATTATTCCATGGTGAAGTCGTTTCCCAATGAAATGGTTAAACTGGGGTGAGCAAAAGTCTAACACATTTACATTACCAAGATAAAAAGATCATTACAGGATCGTAACCTTTTTATAAGTTTTTAAAAATGTTTAATCAGTGTGGATGCATTGAATTAAATCCCAAAGAACAAACTGTAACAAAAAGATCATTTCTGATCTTTTGAATTCATTCAAAAGTTTTCAAAAACCACAAGAGGTGCCAAGGGGTAGCTTTTAAAGATGGGAAGGGAAATGATTAATGATTCTCTGGAGTTGAAGAAAAAACTTAAAAGTGTGGGAGAATAAAAAACTTTTTTTGTATACTGTATCAAGACACTGAAAGATGTTACTGTTACAATTCATATAATGTAAATATTTACAAAGCTTGATAAGTAACTTTGGTAAGGACTAAAGACAATCACTTTGAGAAGAGTGGGGACTCAAATGCTGCTTTGAGTCCTCTAAACTATGGCTTCTGTAAGGGCTATGGGTCTTTCTAAAAATGGATAACCCAACCCTCAGGGTTTGGAATTCAGAAAAATAAAACTTAAAGCAAAAAACATGCAGAAACTTAATACAGAATTCTTCAAAGAATGTGTGTATTTTTTTTTTCTTTCTTTCCATAGAAGTGATTCTGGAATAACTATTATGAATGTGATGAGACGTGAACTAGCCCAGGGGAAGAAGAAAAAATTAATGACTATGCAAGTAAAATATCATATGTTTAAAGACTCTGTTTAGTCTGTTGCTCCAGAATCCCAGTTGAAGAACTCAGAGTTTGACTCTGAAGATAAAACATTCTTTCACACCACCTAGAGGTGTGCTTTGATTATGACCAAGGTGGTTTCTGGTCTCTCTCTAGACTTTGTTGACATGTTATTAAAAAAAAAAAAAAATTCGCAGTGCAATATTGCATAGGAAGTAAATTGCAAAGAAAGAAAAATGAAATAATAAACATTATATCACTACTGTCTGCTATGAGATTCCACTAAAAAGCCTGATTAATGACTATTAATTGGAATTTCAGAATTGAAGTAAGAAGTCCTGGGGTCAAATACTAGCTCTACTACCTACCCAGTTAATAGCTGTACTATTCTAGTTATATGACTTTTATTTTTGTACCTGAGTTCATCAATATGTACAATACAGGCAAATACTTCAAATATAATCTTGAAAATTAAATATATGCGCCAGTGTTGGCATATATTTTATATTTAATAAATACTAGCTAAATCTAAATTATCACCAGAGGAAATATACCCAAATAAAACTTCATTGATTTGTTTTAAAAAGAAAACACTTCTGTAACAAAGTAGGACTATTTTGTAGACCTCTAAATCACTAAGAGAAGACAAAAGGTAAAGAAAAGAAATGAAAACAAAGTACTGATAAATATCATAAATATTTCAAAACTCTAAGTTTTCTTCATAATGAGATGAAGCCCTTAAGATAATGATTGTGGAGCTAGCTCTAAAGTGAAGAGTTTACATGTGGTTTTCAAAACAAAGTTTGTTAACAAATCATACTTCATTTTTGACACCAGTTGAAGATCATACGCTATTAAGATAGGGGAATGCTACACCTCCCAAAATAAAATGAGAACATGTCACTACACCCCTGCCCACACCCCCCCCCCCCAACCATACACACATAGACTCCTTAACTTCATCCATTTAAAACAAAGAGTGCTAATGAACTCACAGTGAAGGGTCTCCACCCTATCAAGGTCACTCTTGTTCTCATCTGTAGCATTGACCTCACCTCTGTCTAGTCAGTTTTGAGTGTGAAACAGTGGAGGAACACAGTTGATAGGCCAATAACATTAACTTTTAACACTTAAAACAAATAAACAAAAAATACCCCTAGCCAAACATCCTCCCAAAATCTGGAAGGAGAAAACGGTATCTTTCAAGCTAGACTTGAAGAATTACCAACCAAGGATGGCTTTTTCTGAGTTCTTTCCTCTTATGCGACTGGCCAATATCTCTGCAGTGCTATGTATTCTTGACCAACGTCATGGATGCAGAATCTTAACATAAGGGTCTGATCAGAAAATTAAAGTTCAGATTTTAATCATAAAAGTAATTCCAGATCCTGTAACGACTTCCACCTCTGGCTGAGGGAAACAGCCTGTCCTCAAGTGAACGAAGCACCAGACCCAAAGTCAAAACTACACTCATTGCTAGTTTTCCTAGTCATGCAATAACATCTTTAAACTCAACTGGGCATTAGGAGATCTACTTAGCCAAAATCCTAGTTCTTAATAAATGATTGGAGGCCTAAAATGTTTTGCCCAAGGCTGTGTAGCCACAGAGTATCCTACCCAGCCTTCCTGGTGCCCAATCTCAAGTAAAGCTAACTCTCTTGCAAGAATCTTTCTGATCCTGGAGCCCCATGATGCTTTGTCATGAATAAATAATGATATACCTGCAATAATAATTCCTCCTTAAATCATGACCAAAATATTAAGACTGAGAGGAACTGATTTCTTATATTTTTATGGCATTAGCGATTTTTTTCTTTTTCTTCTTTAAAAAAAAAAAAAAAAAAAGTTCTCCTAGACCACTCTTCCAAACAATTTAGTACAGGTTTTTGGACCCATACCAAATTAACTTGAAACAATTTGAATAGAAAACCACCTGAAATTCATAAGTCAATTAGAATATTTAAAGACTGCCATCGAAATTTCATGTAAGTTGATTAGGTAAACCTTACCTCAAGAGATTTTGCTTGTTTTATATGTTTTTTTGTAATGCAAAGATTTCTGTTTTACTTAACTGTAATGTAGTTGAGAGCTATCAGATTTCTTCTATCTATCTATCTATCTATCTATCTATCTATCTATCATGTCTCATGTAAGAGGGAGCATTAGCAAAAACTCAACTGAACTGACACTGAAAACGTTTAAGGCAAAAACTGCACAGCATCTTACTCATTTGGACAAGAGAGAGGTTGTACCTTCACCCCAGTTATTTTCTCTAGTCAGAAAACATTGAGCAGAAAACCTTGATCGCTCAGGAGAAATGGAAAGACACAGTGGGATCCTATTTGTGCCTCCATATCAAAGCCACAAAGATACCAAAATAGCTTTCACATCCCCTGCAGTTTTAACAAACTCCCTCTGCACACAAATTGTTAGAGCCTCCTAATCTGGTTTCAACTAAGGTAACTCTGGCCTTCCAAAGGCTCCAACAGCCTACAGGGCAGACTTGCACCCTTGAAGCAAAATTCTAAAATCACGCCTCACATACTTAGGATTAGTAGAAGACCTGCCATTTCACCATCCCCGCAAATTTAAGCTTTAACAAAGATTCCTCAGCAATATACTAGGAAACTCAGTAGCAACCCCATGGACCTTTTGCACCAAGTGAAATAAATTTAGCCTTGTGAACTTCTTTCCCAATGAAGCATAGTCCACATCACAAAAGTTTGGTGTTTAGCCACAAAGTAAAGAAAGAAGCTCAAAGTTTAGTAGCATCCAGGCTGAAATCCAAGCTACTTTTCCGTTTCAGAGCCCACTCAGAGAACCATGTGTGAAGGTGACAATGTCCCATGCCTCAGACCTCGGTCCCTTACCTTCTCTTAGGCAGTCAGAACCAGGACGCCCATGTTGGAGAGGACCACCACAGCCACCACCTCCCCCTCCGCAGTTAGGGGGGAGCATTCCTTGAGAAGGAACGCATTGATCGATTTCAAAGACAGGCTGGGCACACTAGATCCCAGCTGTAGTTAATCAGTGTCCACACTGCTAAGAGGTTGGAGGAAAGAAGCAATGAGCACAGGGCTTGTTCTCAGCCTTGCCTCTGTGAATCTCAGGGGATAGGTGGGGAGGAAAGGTGGACTTCCCCTGCCTGGCTGGCACATCCGACCTGCCTGAGCCTTTATTTTAACACTGGGAGGCCAAATGGGTGTTCCTGTGCACAACCAGATCTTATTTCCTCTGCATAAGATCTCCCATACACAATTGATCTGGCCTTGTTGGAGAGGGTTCTTGGGGAGAGGGCGGAGTTTACAAGAGGGACGGGAAAAGTTTTGCAAATCTTGACTATAAGAGGATGAAGATGAAGGTGGTGAGAGGAGGAAGATGAAGAAGGTGGGGAGGGTAAAGGGTCTGATTTCCAAAAAGGTTAACTGGAGGAAAGTACTGAGTAACCCACCCCCACCCCCACCCCCAACTGTACTGGAGTGTTGAAAACAATTGTTAAGCCTGGGTTTGCTCCCTCCCCCTAAAGACAGTAAAAATTTCGGGTGGCTGGGCTAGGTTAATGGCAATTTACCTTACTGGGCTGATAACATTGACTTTTGCCAAAATAATAAATGCCTTCAAGACAAAGTTTTCTCCTCTGCTCTCCAAACAATTTCAGACTCCCAACCCCTGCTCTTTGGACTAAAAAAAGAACAATACCACGCAAATTATTCCCAAAGGGGGGTTGAGTCACAGGCGAGCGTTTGTTTATTCACTTGAAAAAGCTCAGTTCTGTCAAACTCATCAACGAAAACAAGAGTATCACCCCAAACCACACGTGTCACCCTCCTTCCTCCCATCCTGGCCTTCTGCCTCCAGGAAAACATTCAGGATCAATCCATTCAGCCATCCCCAGTCCGCTCCCCGCTCAATAGCTGCGTGCATGACAGCGACCCTCCTGCAAGACTGCGGGTGTGCATTTATAATCGATGTGCTAATTCGAAATCCTCACTTCTGTCCCTGGTTGGCTGAGCCGCCCCAGCGGGCTTTTCGCGCGCGGTCACTTGGGCTGTTCCACAATAGAGATGAGGACACATGGTTGTGTCCAGGGACTCAGAGAGGCACCCACTGCAGTGACCACCCACCCAGCGCCAAAAGCCCGCGCAGCCGCCGGCCGCTTCGCCCGGCCCAGCCAGGTCCCCGCGGTCGTCTGCAGAGACCTCCCGCGGCCCCGCCGCCCCCGGTCCCCCCGCAGACAGGGCCTCCCGCGACCCCGCGCTGCAGAGCGCGCACGCCCGCCCCGCTCACCCCGCGTCCCGAGCTGGCGGCTGCGGCTCTCAGCGGCGCCGGGGCTCCCGGCAGGGCTCCCGCAGCGTCTCGGGCCCGCGCCCCGCCCGGAGCACGTCCTGCAGCAGCCGCTCTCCGCGCCCCACCAGCCCGGCGGCAGAGGCAGCAGCTCCAGCCGCGCTGCCCCTCTTCATACTTCTCTGATGGCTCCTCTTGGTGCAGTTTGGGAAAACGATTTTCCCCCTGCCAGAAACAGATTTCCTACATTTCATCAGTCCACATAGACCGAGCGGAAGTAAAATGCTTACTTTTTCTGGTGGACAGCAAACGCAATTGACACTGATTTACCCTTCAAACGGGGAGAGATTGTATTACAAGCCCTTGGCAGCAATTCGGAGGTTGGGGCCAGGCTCCAGCCCCCTCCTTGACCCCCAAACACTAACCTAAGAGAAAGGACCGGGGGTGGGGAGGGGATCATATTTAACTCCAGGGTTTTAACAGAGTCAATGGCTTTAGCACAATATTAAAATGGGGTGTTGGAAAAGTTTTGCTTTCCTGGCCAGTGATTTTGCAGACTCAGAAGCACGAGCTTTCCAATAACTCCGGCCATGCTTCGTTCCAAACTGAGCAATGTGATTTCTTACACTTCTCTTTAAATATCAGATTTTAGAAGAGGCTGCACCGAGGGCTGTTTTCGCTTTGCAAAAGGAAATACAATTCCACCCTCCCTTCCCTCAGCCTCAGCTCAGCATTATGTTGAATGTCACAGACAATTTTCGGCAACTGCTGTTTATTAGTACATGTAGTCTGAGATGGAAAGTCCTGCCTTGCCACGAACTGGACAGATGTTCAAGTGTCTGCTGTGCCACTAATATCTAGGTGACCTTTGCTGAGTGTCCTAATCGCCTCGGGTTACCCCCTTCTGTGGAGTGTAGATGAACAGCATTTCACTGGTGGTGGTGGTTCTCATGTCCATCCGTTTCACGTGCAACTCCATTCCCTCTATGTGATGGCAGGGGCACAGGTATTCTGATCCTCGCAGGGATACCATTTTCTAAGTAGTGATTAACGTGCCCACCCCATACCCCCAAATAGAAACTACCTATAGATACACAATGGGAGAAATGACCTAGGTAATTTTAGGTATAATTAAAGCATGCATGTTGCAATTATTGTTGCTTTCATCTGGAAGTGGTTATTTGCTCTGAAACATCTAGATACTGCATGGGTTATTTGCTTGTAGCATTACAAATGATGAAGAAGGGGGACGAAACAGACTGAGAAGTTTGGCGGCACTGACCCCCCCAGCTTTTTGCCTTAATTCATTTTGGTGTTGCTGTTGTCAGTTTCCACATTCCTCCTTGGCTTCTCAGAAGGACAAAAAGGGGGACGAGCCACCTCTTTTTAAGGAGAACAGCATTATAAAAAGGCCTATAATCCTGCTTGCATATACATAAACATCAGCGAATCATACACAATGGGTTACAGATGGATTTGAGGAAATGATTCGAAGTAATAAAATGTTTCAAAAGTAACCAAATCTGAGTTTTCCTAGAGCCCTAACAACGTATTTTGAATTGCTGAACATGTACAATTTAAGTAAAAAAAATCTAACATCCTTGATAATTTTTCATGATCAAACATCACCAATAAACTTTAAGTATCCTCAGGGTACAGAATAAGAATTTTAAAAAATCTAACACCTTGGATTTTGAAAATCTTGTATCCTATACCTCTCCAGATGTAAATATTCTTGTCACATTGTTCAATATTAATGCTATAAGAAGCAAAGTGTAAATCCATGTTTTTATTGATTCAGGAACAATGCTAAACCCATTTTGGGAAAATGAGGAGGCTTTCAGAAGCACTGGGAAAGAGTCATCATTCACATCACTCCCTACAATGCCCCTTCCTTTCAGGAATTTTTAGTTTTGAATTGCGCCTCCTGTCAGACCCTGTGCCCTCCTAGCAGGAGGAAAATGCCAGCAGAAGTGTGCATTTTCTCCCTCAGCATCTGAGAGTTGTGCTGAGTATCTTTTGGTGGCAAAAGAAAAGTAATACAAAAGATTTCTGAAGAGGCATCAAAATAGTGTTTCCATTTAATTTTTGTCAGAATTTGTAACAAATCCCATTTGGTTTTGATTTTGCACTTTTCAGAAGCAAATTTCTGTTTAAGTATTCCAATCATCCACTGATACATTTGTCAGATAATCTTTTCGCCCAAGAATGTCCTTGCTTTGGTCTCTCTCAACCTAACCATATTCATCTCAGGAAACCAAGGTCCAGCTTGGATTTCCTGAATTGACGTGAAGGTAATGGGAGCAAATGCCTCGCCTATTGGGGTGAAAAATGTCTAAATACATTTTTGAAATTTGCAGCACAAAAAAACAAAAGCCAGGCCAGACTTAAAGAAAACATAGTTTAGTTTTTCTTTTTATCACTTAAGTATTAGAGTTTAGAGGACTTAATATTGAAAGTTTCTCGGTTCCTCTTTTGGGCATTCTACATCTTGTCTCAAATATGAACTTTGTCTTTTCTCTCAAAAATACATGTATCTTTATATAGGTTTACAATGGAAAATAAAATTCTTTATTTTTTCCCCCTCATCTATAGGTTAGTCTCCCCTCTCTCCCTCTTCTTCTCCTTCTCTCTTCTCTCCCTCCTTCATGCAATAATATATACATACTTACTTGTTCTGGAAAGTTGGGCAAAACCTCAATAGGTGATAAAGATTAGAAGGCACTTTGCAATAAGTTTAAAAACATGGAAATATACACTGGGTTAAAGTCAAATAAATTTCCAAAGGTGACTGAGGCATTCTCATGTTCCTAAGTAGCATCAAAAGGGCTGTTAACTATGGCACGTGATGGCCTTAGATCAAGTGAGAATAATGTTATGGAAAGCAGTATAAAAACCTGCACTGATGCTGGAGAAATATATGAAGCAATGTAATAAGTGAAAACACGTATTTCCCTTTTATTGAAATATTTTATCAGTAATGAAAAGTATGATTATCTTTTCCTACCTACCATCTTGGACCATAGTATAGGCCTTGAATTGACATATATTGAAATATGTTTTTAATGTCAAACAAAAAAGATTTTATAAGTCCTAGTATGGTAGTTACAAATAATGTTAAGGGCAAAAAGTAAATGTTAGTACTTTTCATCACCGTTCATCTATAACACTACAAAGAATAAATTAAATGAGAGAAATTTCATGTGAAAGTTCAAGATTTACTCTCATTTTGATATGCAACTTAAAAACTTTATTTTTACTCTCAAAGGGAAACTTTAAAGTTTATTAGTACAACATAACACTAGTACAGATATCCATTCCCTATTGTGCGAGACGCATATTTTTGTGCAAAATGTGTGTTATATATGAGCACATGTTTTGTAATTTTTACACAGAGGATAGATTAAAAGCATTTCACAAAATATGCCATTTATCTCATCTAGTTCAAATATCCTATGTAATATACACTGTTGTGTGCTTTTCCTTGTCTAAGTGAAGCTGGGTTTTCATTAAATACTTTTGTGGTTTGTTTCTAAAGTCCTTATAAATATCTATGCATTATAATTGGAAGAAGGTCAAATTTAATATGAATGTTTAATATAAAATATTTTTATTTCAATAACCCCGTCTTTCTTTTGAACCACTGTTTTCTCCAGCATCTAGAATACCACTGGCCATCTAGGGGCACTCAATAAATAATTGTTGAATGAATGAATATTACAGAAGAATCCAGTCTCTTGTGAAGCTTACTACTAATTGGTTATATATTTATATATTGTTTTTAATTTAGTAGTTTGGAACTCAGAATAGGAAAATAATGTTAA